GCCATCCAAACGCGGAAACCATAAAGTAATTGTACAATCGTCCCTAGTTCAATGTTGTGCACATCCCCCGCAATAACTTTTGGTAATTTACCATGCATGCACGACACAAGCTCAACATTCGGCTGGGGGAGTGGTAGGTTGTTTGGACAAATCACTGGATCATTGAAACTGATTTCCAATCAATCTTTGCGATCAGGTTATCCGTCCAATTTAATTTTATTGCAGCTGTCATAAACATGTGTTAGCTGGATTTGAAAACAATCACTCGAACCATGAGTTTAAAAAGTTTGATATTAATCTCTTTCAGGTGTTTCCCGATGCTTTCACTAAACGTGAGCTCAATGGATTATGTTTGCATTGTACCAACCAAGGCTGTGCTTGGCATGGCACTTATGAAGCACTCGAGGTGAGTTGGGGACTTGGGGTGGTAGAAGGAGAGAGGGAGAAAGACGAGAAAACCGTTCGACAGGAAGTTGTTATTGACTCTCATTCACATAGCAGCAACAAATGAAATTAAGACAATCGAACTTATAATGGAACCATTTCTTTGTGATTTAGGGACATTCTGCTGTCTGTGAACATGCTTTGATAAACTGTGTCCATACACAATGCAAGATGACATTCCAACGCTCTCATCAGGGCGAACACTTGAAAAGTGAATGTGAATATCGGAATGTGAAGTGTGATTATTGTGGGAAAGATGCCACCTTTGCCTCGATGAAGGTAAGTAAAAATAAAGTAACTTTTGTCGTCTTATGTAATTAACCTTAAACCTCGTAATTATCCTTGAGCCAGTACGGTATACTCAGTTTTACTCGCTGTTCATCTAGGAACATGTTGATACGATCTGTGAAGGTGCGCCTGTGACTTGCAGATACTGTAAGGAAGATGTCTTGAGAAAAGACATTGAAAGACACGAGAGACGTGATTGCGATGAGGTTCCGGCAACTTGCGAGTATCAAGATGTAGGATGCAACCACGATAAGGTAATAAATAGTTACTTGCTGTATTCGGTGACATACGCAGATTTTCTCCCGATAATTTTGTTACAGTTCCTCCTGTTGTAACGTTGCACCAATATAGGATGTCTCTTCGTCTTATTAGAGCTATCCAGTATAAGCTTAGCTCGGGTTTCTACGCGTACTGTGATGATAGCAATGGGCAGTAAGGGATGAGTATAGTACAAATTAAATAAGATTTACCTCATTTAACCCGCACCAGTTGCCTCAGAACTCTTCTTCTCTATTCTAGTTGGGTGGCCCTTAGTAGGCCTCTGGCCAGTCTGAGATGTTAGTAGTATAAATTTATTTTAAGTTTTCTAGAAACAAAACCAATCCATTCAATAAAGAGCATTACAAAATCTTGAATTTTTAACTTCACAACTTTGATAATAATTTCTCTCAGAAAACGTGGAAAATGATCTTCTGAGGCTTCAAAAGGGTATAAAAAATTTCGGGGGGGGGGCTGCTTCCAGTCCCCCTACCTTAAGGACCATCTACACGATACGACTAGTCGTATGCGATTCTTATCCTGGCGTATGTACTCGAATAAATGCGTGTAAAGATGTCACATTTCAAACTTCGCCATAAACTGATGGACAGGAATAGTACACTACATTATTATTATTCAGCTCACTCCTCGTTGGGGCTTTTCAGTGTCCGATTACATTAAGTATTACGAAAATTATTTGCTGTTTTTCATGTATCCGATAGTTAAAACTTACGCCCGTATTTTAAAAGCTCACTCACACTCACACTCATTGAGTGGAGATTGAACAGTCTTGGCTTCTCTCGAGTGTCAATGCTGTTTTGAATAGCTGGAGGGTTAGTGTTGTACCTAACTATGTGACTACTCACCCTCCAGCTATTCAAAAACAGCATTGACACTCAAGAGAAGCGCATTGAGTGTGAGTGAGCTTTTAGAATACGGGCGTGAGTGTCAACAAAATATATTCCGAAAGGATACACACGTAAAAACGCACAACTTCTTGCAGTTCTGCAAACAAGTTGCGAGAAATCTGTTTACAAGTTGTGTTCGCACTGCTTGTTGGAACAAGTTTGGAAAAAACTGTTAACAACTTGGAACAAGCTAGCTTGATGGCATTACCAGACTTGTTACAAGGTTGTTCAAGTCATGAATCATGATATAAGAAGAATGTTACAAGGTTGACAATATTGTTATATCATGACTGTATTGGACCTGTTTGAACAACCTTGCAACAAACAAATTAAATCTAATAATATCAACAATGTCGTTACAAGTTGTTAACAAGTTGTTCCATACTTGTTGATATAACTTGTGACAACGAGTGGGAGCACAACTTGTTGACGGCTTGTTTGCAGACTTGCTACAAGATGTGAGCAAATGCTCAACTGCCCAACAGTCTTTTGTAATTTACTATTCATCTTTGATACAATTTGTAGACTTTGAAGCGAAAGGAACTGCGCCAACATTTGAATGATGGATTGATAGATCATGGTGCACAACTACTGCGGTATACTCTTGCCTTTGCTTCTCAATTAAACGACTTCATCCCACGTCCAGAATATACAGGAATGTCGCAGAGAATTCGCGACGACATCACTGAGGTTCGCTCTGGCTTAGCTGAGAAATTCGTCATGGTTGTCGGGAAGTTGACTGGCTTGGAAAGACGGATTGAAAGCTTGGAATCCAGTGGTGAGGGTGATACAAGGATTAGAAATGAAGTGCATGAGCTACAAAGTAAAATTAGAGACCATACTACTGAAAGCGGCAACTTACGTGAACGGACTATGAGTTTAGAAGGAGAAGTGAGAGATAAGATCTCAATTATTGATCGTTTTCGAAGTAGGATGGATCAAATGGATGAGTGTCGTGCTTTGAATACAGTCAAAATTACCGATTTGGAGTCTCAAAGAGGTCCGAGTGCCCAACAAGCTATCCACAGTTATAATGGCACTTTACTCTGGAAGATTAAAAATTATCAGAGAAAACGGCAAGATGCTATTAATGGAGTGAAGACGGCCTTGTACAGTCCACCTTTCTACAGCGCTCAGTATGGTTACAAGATGTGTGCCAAAATATATTTGAATGGGGATGGTTTTGGAAAGGGATCGCATTTGTCGTTGTTTTTTGTTGTGACGCGAGGCGACTACGATGCTCTTCAAACCTGGCCATTTCAAAAGAAGATCACGATGATGCTGTTGGATCAAGGCAATCGAGATCACATGATCGATGCGTTTAATTCAGACCCTCAAAGTTCATCTTTTCAACGTCCAAAGTCTGATATGAATATCGCTTCGGGTTCCCCGCTCTTTATGCCTCTTGATAGCTTGAATAATCGTCAGTACATCAAGGATGATGTCGTGTTTATTAAAATTATCGTCGACTGATGTGGATTCTGAGCTATTGGTTTCTCTGGCGAAAATACAGTACACACGTGACAATGAACCGGAAATGGGAACTGTTGGACAATTGATGATTCCCCTTCAGGGACGCCGGAACTGGAGGGCAGGAAGGGCAGCCGCCGCCGTTGCCCTTTACCAGGAGGGGCAAGGGGGGGGGAGGTGCCCTTTCAATTTAAAGGATTGCCTTGGCGAAATAGCGAATTGTCAGAAATGTTAGTGCAATTCTTTTACGAATTTGCTTCAGAAAACGCAAGAAATGCAGTCATCGAGCTTCAAGAATAGCACAATCGCCTGGCGGAGAACCCCTTCACACCCCTATCATCCAATCAATAGAAAACATGATCAGGCGAAGTTCAACTCCCGATGTTTTGCAAACATCTCTTAGTATATATCAATTCAAAAGTGCCCTTTCACGAAAATCTGCCCCCCTTGCCTTCACATCGTTCCAGCGTCCCTGAGTAAAACGTACTTTATTTTGACTTTATGGGGAAATAGAACAGGAAATATAGTTTTTCTAAGCTCAGTAAAACTGCAGAACACCAAAAATATGAAACGTTTTGCTTTTTAACAACCAATTGAACCAAAATGCAGACGAAATTAGCGGGAAAATGCTAAATTATGCTAGCTATTCTTTTTTGAAAAAAATGCAAAAAATATGCTCGTTAAGCCAAATTATGCTGAAAATTATGTTAGCATAATCGGGAAGGGCCTAGTTAGAAAGGCAGATACTGTATGTTAGTGTTTCGATGGAGATAAAATTATTAAATATATGTTACACTGCAAATACTGTAGGTAACCGAAAATTTAACCATACTACCAAACATTCCAGGCGATGCAAAATTTATATTTATACTGTAAGTAAAGGAAAATTAATCAAGGAAGACATATATACACAGCTGGATGAAAGTAAACTATTTATTGGACTTTTGGTAATCTTTGATTTCTACCTTATTCCATATCATCATTGAAAGCTTTGTATAATGAACATAAAAACTATAATCCAACACTTTAAACGTAGCCAAATTGGTCAAACGTGATAACATGGTTTGCTCAGAAAATGACTATTCACTCTAACGTGCGAACGTTTTCCGGTCTATTTGATTCAATTAGCTATAGTTATAGAACATAGCTACAAAGTTTAAAAAGAAATGGAATCATGGACATGCCAAACGTTGTCTACACAGCTACTTTCATATAGGCAATCGGCACTTTTCACAGGTTATTATAGTATGGCGACCCCCCACGAGGAATAAAGGGTCGCTGTCCAATGTTCAAATTGGTCATAGTAAAGAAATGCGAGTATATCGCCATGACTTTTGGAGCATAAACGTTTTATAATAATATATAAGAACATTTCAAACGATTAACGAAAAGATTTGATGTGATATCAACGGTAAACGGGGATAGCAGCAAGATTTTATAGTAAATGATAGGTCTAGTCATTGTTTTAAATTGGAGTCGCCGTTTACCGTTCTAATGGCCTGTTTACCGTTCTTTTATCAAACCACGATAAAGATTATACTTGGTTAACCGTCATATAAAAAAATTCGGGTTAAATTATAAGTTTCAAAAGAAAGTTTGAGGCTCATAAACTATAGAACAAATGACGTCATCTTATAAAAAATACCTATATACAACAACACTTGAACGTGATATTTACATAATTGAATTAAATTCCAATGCATGTGTCTCGACCTCTATGCCCTAGTAACATGATATTACTCGCTTCTGACAGTAGAAAACTATATATTTTAGATGAAACAACAAGAAAAATTCATGCGTTTCATGCGTATATTTTAGGATGTGATAAGTTCAAATAGGCATTATATTGCTTGCTTTTCATGCAAACAAATATATATATTGCTCGAAAAACAAGTACTAACGTGTATATCCATCTTTCAGACTACTGGAGTGGAAGAAAATTAAAAAAGATTGAGTTATCATGCACAATTAAATTCAGTGTGTTTCAGACAATCTTGGACAAAACCCTTGAGACCATTCCAGCTAATATTACAAAGTTATTGAACATTGACAAAACAAACTTTGTCTCCCCCCCCCCCAGTTCAATGTTGTGAACAACGCCGAAAAAAACTTTTGGTAATATACCATGATACAAGCTCAACATTGAGTTGGGGGAGTGGGGGTTTAAGAATGGCAACATGATTCAACATGGAGTTTATCATAAAAATACGCGAATTTTCTATAGGGGGAAAATAGTCTCAACCAGTTATGTCCAAGATTGTAGGTAGTGATTCTGACAGTAGCTGTTAATAAATTTATAGCATTTTAACCTTGGATAATGTGATTACATGACAGATTGCACTATTAAAATGCACTAGTCTGGTGTACTATTTTAATAAAATAGTAAACACAAAATTATTTCCCAGGTGTTATGGTTTAACCGTCAATCGCTGGCAGCAACACAACGATCGCGCCTTGCCATGGCCTTCGAAAGCAAAGAGATAGCAAAGCAAAGATCGGCATCAACTGGTTCCAAAAAAAGAAGTCCAGTTGGAAAATTGTCCAATGTAACTTGGGACAAGGAGAGAATGAAAGAAGAACTTGAAAGCTACCCAGATAATACTAAGGTCAACTGGTCAGATATGGCTCGAAGGTACTCCATAAGAAATACCAAGGGAGAAATAGCAAAAAATGGTGGACAGGTGACAGAAGAATGGCTTAAATCAGTTGGAGTTAATGTATCCAGATTTAAAATGCCATGTGAGCAGACTGGTGAGAGAATAAGAAGAAAAAAGCTGAGGGGTGCAGGAGGAGAGATAACAGTTGCAACTCCCCAAACCATTAGCAGTGTCAAAGAGGAAATGAAGAAGGTCATGTCAGGGAAACATACAGTTGGACAGCATATTGCACCTCGAAAAGTTAGTTACTTCAGGGCTGTAATTATCATTAGCCCATTGAGCTGCAATGCTTAATGGTTAATAATACTGTACTAAATGTTACGTACAGTACTGAACATTAAACACTATAGTGCTCAGTATATTTAACTAATGTTGCTTGTTTTAATTCACAATTATTTTAGTATGAAAAAATGGTGATAAACAACTCTGGGGAGATTATCAAAACAGAATTTCTTGTGGAAGGTCAAAAACAACCACTAATTGAAATCACTGAGAAGTCAAGAACAATACATGCAACATACTTCAGATGAAGATTTTCAAAACATGCCTTTGGAAAGTGTAATCATCAGCCTTAAAGAGATCAATTAATACCATGATGGAGGAAATGAAGATGAAATGAGGGCCCGGCCATAAGAAATTTGAAAGGACACGGCACCTCAAAATGTGGCATGATCTCTGAACTGCTGCTAATCATAGTCACCTGGTATTTATGGTGTCATGTCTGCATGACCCAGCAATACATTACACAAATGAGGAGTATCTTAAGATGACCAACATCAAAGAAGATGTCCAAGCTAAAGTGAAATCGCCAGAGGTGTATATAGTTGCCAGGTCAGGAAGTTCAGATGCCGAACAATTGGCCTATATAGACACACAACGAGAATGCCTGGAAGACATGGGAAGTAAATTGACAACAAACTCTGGTACTAATGTCACAGATAAAATGAGATACTTTCATGGCGATAGTCTAGCACGTGAATGTGAATGTGGACAGCAGAAAGGTGGTAACTACTACTGTTCCGGATGTGGTGCATATGCGCAACGAGTTTATGAGTTAGACTATGTTTTTGCTGTTGATGGATGTCATTGTCGGATCGCCAACAGTTGATGCTAAATGGGCCCTATGGTCGAAAAAATTCTTTGGCAAAAACTTCAAGCCCCTGCAGAAGTTGAAAAAACAGGAACTGATAACAGAATTGCATCCAAGGGGGATTTTTGAAGGTGAGACAAAGTCTGAACTTGAAAAGGTTCTGCAATATGAAATGCATGGTGTCCAGCAGGTCCCTGTCTTGCTTTACAATACACCTACCACTTCACTGGAATTGATTAACTGTGAGAACTACGAGATACTTTCCTTTGAAACTCTACACGACATTGGCAAACACATAGAGAATGTCCTGACAGAACTCCCAGCCCACCTGCCAGCAGAAGAAGCTAAAGACGTAGAAGAAGTCATCAACCTTTCAATGGAAGGAAAAGATACCAAGCGGACTTTTGATTACCGGCATGCTATAGTCATTCTTGCACAACATTCTGTCAAAATATCATCTCACCGTGTCCAACAACTCCTGACCTCTTTGGTAGAAATTCAGAGGCTTGCATACAGCTCAGAGAACGAAAGAACCCCCAAATCAATCCAGTGACTCCACAATATGACTTGGAATCATGGGATTTTATGCCAGGAAGTATTTGGTTTTACGCTGAAGGAAATGACAACCCGAAAGCTGTATGGCAATTATTTCCATGACATAACCATCCCATGCAGCATCGCTTAATCAGTGGAAGGTCCACCAATGTTGAAGAGCAAGAAAGAGTGTTTAACACAATTACTAACATCACCAAGGCAACATCTTCTTTTCACCCCAGTCACATCATTGGTAACATCTTTGTCAGACTGCAGGCTGAGAAACAGATGGCAGCTTTGTCTAAGCTTGCATGTTCACTTCCACCATATGGAAATACAATTATTCCACATGAGATCATAGAGAAGCACATCCGATCTTGGCAAGCCCACCTCGAGAGAAAGTGATTTTCTGTTGACTGGAAAGGGAAGTTGGTGGATGGAGCACGAGAATGGTGACATAGAATTTTACGATGGCAAGCAGCCCCCAGATAATCATGCTAAAGGTCCTTCACTTGATCATTTTCGATCAAGTAATTTCAAAAGCGAAGAAAAATACCTTGAAGAATGTTGGGAGAAATGTTTATGGTTGGGTGTGACACTACCTATAAAAGCGTTAAGAATTGAAGATGAGCATGGAAACATGAATGTGGTACAGCATTAATCTGTGAGCAGATTGGAAATGGAAAGTGATTGTAACCTCGAGCCAGAACAACACAATCCTGAATTCATGGACAGTACAATAACAGAACATGAAATACAAGTATCTGTTGCTACAAAAACAACAGAAGAGAACATTCTAACATTTGAATTGGTCCCTAATAATGTATCAGAATTACCACTGGATGCACTTGATGATAATGTCAATGATGAAAAGAATCAACAAGAGAGTGTTGTTTCTGTTCCAATAGATTCTGTGCCTCGACAAAACACATCAGTAACCACAAACGATAATGCACCAAACCAGACTACAGACATGGATAGGAATGACTTGTGCATCAAAAAGATTGGGAGGTTTCTAGAATTTGTTTTGGGAAGAACGGCAGAGGTTGTTCGGTTTGACAATGCCAGGCAACGCCACAAACAGTCACCAAATGACACAGACTATGCCAAAGATCACATGAAGCAAGTGGTGATAATGGAAACAAGGGTATCGAAACAACAGCGGCATAAGCTCAGCTCAGTCAATGGGAGAAAGATTTTTTATCCAGCATAACTGCAAAGTTGCTACTCAAGATGACATTGCCTCATGTCGAGATGCAAAGCTTCTTGTCAAGAAGCTAAAGTATGCTAGAGCTTTGTTGAATTTAAGGAAAAATAGAATTAAATTATATTCACTATAGCAGTGGGGTGACAGTGTTAATACAGGTTAATTAAGCAATGCAAATAGTAGCTGTGCATAATTTCTTGAAAAAGAGACTTTGCTCGAAATGTTGAAGAAAATGTTTTGTTTCTTAGTTGGATAACCTTAATAATACAGTATTATAAAATGCACAATTACTATTTAGCAGTATTAGCCTATAGCCATAGCAAGGATCACTGACAAACCACTATTAACCAGGGCTTTAATTGCTCTAGCTGTCCTGCTTTATGTAAATATAGGAATAATTGAGGCACATTTGTGTAAATAAAATGTAAAAACAGCAGAACTGGTGATCAATGTAGACATTTTATTCTTTTATAACATTATTAAATTTAGCTGGGGTGAGTTATATTAGCTGTGAAAATATATAATAATTGTAAATACTTAAACTCACCTATAAAGGATTCTTGGATCGATTTATACAGTATTCTTTATTCACAGAATATGACGACTTTTGTAAGTAATATATAGTGTATTCACAACATCCAAACCAAACTTAAATTAATATATCCATCGAACCAAATAGAAACAGCTTTTAAATCTGTTTCAAAACTCTATCAACCGACGTAGTCTAGGACCTGTATAGATGTTTGTTTGCATTTCATTTAGCACAGGTAATCTCAACTGTTTTAGGGTAAAATGACCATGGCGGTCAACATGGCATATGTGCCAAAACCTGAATCGGGGGCGAAAGTCCTGAAAATGACCCCGCCCTGAAACGGCAGTGCCGACATAGCTCTAACTTCCGAAAAGCAAAAGCCACAGCCTTTCTGAAGTGCTTATAGTGTTTAGAAGGGTTGCTTTTAGGGGTGGTCATTGGAAGGAAAAATTTGTCTGAGTATAATATTTTGCCAGAAAATGACCATGAACCACCCCTGCTAAATTGCTGATTATGCACAAAATAACTAATATGCCTGGCAGAAATTTAATGTTCTTATTTCCTAAAAAAAATTATCATGGGATGAAAAACTATGCTTAATTTAATATAATTATTGTAGTTTTCATAAGGATTGTCATTATATAATACATTTTAATTCACTCACCCCCCACGAAAACACTATTTCAGCCATACTTTGCCGTCTTGTTTGCTTTTTATCGCTGAGTCTCGCAGATATCATCCAGTTGTTGTACTTTTACATAATGATAGATGGCTAAAGACGATTTCGACGAAGTTTAATGAAGTTTTGAAACAGTGCAGTATATTTTATCTTCGATATTGTGTCCTTCGATATTTCGTCAAATTGCTGCCATGTTAATGGCTCTCCGCTTCCCTGCCCGATAAATTCCTCTTCTTCGTCTTCCTATGTGTTTAGACTGCAATATCCAAGAGTACTTCATTGTAGAATAGTCCCAATCGAAAAAATGAAAACATTTGTTGGGTTTTGATGCCAATACCCTCCAGGTAACCATTTACGTTCAAAATAAAATACAAAGCATTTGAAAGTCACACGCAATCTTCGCGAAAACTTCTCGTGGACACATGACAGGGGGGGTGAATATTTTCACGGAACGTTTGTTCGCCACCACAGCAACCTATTAAAATATATTGTATTTATTGTATTTTTATGAATTACGATAAAAGCAATAAATATTTGGGTAGTTTTATCATAATTCATTATAGCTAACACTATAAGCACTTCAGAAAGGCTGTCGCTTTTGCTTTTTGGAAGTTAGAGCTATGTTGGCACTGCCGTTTCAGGGCGGGGTCATTTTCAGGACTTTCGTCCCGGATTCAGGTTTTGGCACATATGCCATGTTGACCGCCATGGTCATTTTACCCTAAAATAGTTGAGATTACCTGTGCTAAATGAAATGCATACAAACATCTATACAGGTCCTAGACTAACGCTCAAGTCTCAAGCACCACATGAAAAAAACTGGGAACGAATATCTTCTTATATGGGTAAGCTCTCCTAATAAGGCAAGCTATTAAAAGCGCAAATATTCACAGTATTTCCCGCGTTGGTTACTACAGCACACTCGTTCACTTTGTTTGCTTAAAACAATTAGAATGAGGCACACGAAAGAAGAAATTAGGCAAATGCGCAATGCCAGAAAGAAGAGAAAGCGGCAACAGAAATCAGAAATAAAGTGTGTAAAAGATAGTTGAAGACGCGGTTCATGCGGAAGCTGATCAATATTTCTATGAATAAATATTACCTGTAAACTAGCTGATGAATATGATTTATGTAATTGTCTGCGATGTTTGCTTTTCATCATTTTATATACAGTGTACAATTCTTTAAACGACTGTAATATTTACACTTAAGATACTGTTGAAGAAATGATGTTGAAAGAAAAAGAACAACTTAATCAAGATTTAATCAAACAAAAGAAGCAGTTGGCAGACTATATGAGTTCGCCAGTCGAGTTGACGCCCCTTTTCGCTACCTGGGTGCCGGGTGATGTCAAAGTATGTGCACTCGTTGTCATCATAGAGGACATAGAAAAGAGGGAAACAAAAATGGAGCTTATTGTGAATTTGAAGAATGTGTTTGTTGGCTTCCACTATTCTGGTCAGGAAAAGCTTCATCCAGAGTTTAAAGTTGAAAAACGCGAGGTATTGTTTACCAAAGTCAAACTTTTTGCTGATCATCAGATACTGAATTCAGTTCCATAAAAAATTGCCTATTAACATGTTTATACTTTATGATATTTTTTTTCTTTACATGATGCGGAGAGAAAAAAGTGTCAGAAATATTAAAGCGAAAATTCGACAAAAAGAAGACTGTGGAAAGTTTGATATTTCATTCAAATGTCCAACTTGTTTCACTTTTGCACCATCTGTCAGTGATTCCTCAGGAACTACTGTCAAATGCTTCCTTCCGTCAATATCACATACCCCCAACATCTAAAATGTTTATCTATAAATTCAATATGTTGCAACACATTATCTGTTGTTTTATAATGGCACGACCAATATGTAATTTGGGATCTATTTGCCTTTTTTCTTCAAATGTCAAAACTACTTTTCTGACACCATGTTCAGTTATTTGTAAATCTAAGTTCCCGCGTCTTTATTACTGTATTACATGTTTGCGTTTAATAAGTATTAATTCTTCATATAATTAAAACTCATAAGCTAAATTTATATTTATAGGAATTTACTGCAATGAACTGTTATGTCTCTATTGCCAAGGAGATTTCTATATACATTTCACCGATTGATCCTTGGAGTTTTTATTCTAAAAGATAAAATTTTGATTTATCATGGGAACATTTCGAAAACAATGTAAAGTGTGGAAAAATAATATAAACATACGCTTTGAATAAAAAACATTGAAACTTTGTTTGATGATTTTCAACTTCCGTTCGGGTCATGTGCACGCTTGGTTTAACGTGATTGGTCAACAGTAATTTAAGATCAAATGTGATTGGCTAATATTCTAAGGAAGTTTCAAAGTTCCTGAGGAGCATTTTGAGGAACTGCTCAAATGTGTTCCTTCAAGTTAGGAAATGAATTGATCAACATTTTTCGGAACACTTCTAGTGGCACAACTGTAAATGATTTTTCAATGTTTCTTTCATTGAATGAAACAGGCTGTAATCTGGGGAGGTATGCAAAACTGAAGTATGGTAATGTGGAGAAGAAAAAAATTACGTAACGTTCATACCTATCATTTGTATCAATACCATAGCAATAGCGAACCGTTTTAAAGACAAGCGTCAACATCAGTGAAAGGTAGCACAGCTACAGCAATCATCATCTCCAGCATCATCATTAACATCTTCTTGGAGTGCTGAAAAGAAATGGCAAAATCAAGATGTTCTCAGTATGTCATACATACTAATATTGTAAAATATTGTCAGTTATAGGAATTTATCTACTTATAGTATAGTACAGTATATATTTATCCATGGGGTCCTTACCTAGTGGTTTCACACTGCTGTAACGTTATCTTTGACACTTAGATAAGGTTATTCTTACTACTATTAAGACTTTATGGCAGAAACAGAAGAAACGTGCCAGGAGTACATCCAGTATATGAAAAAGGAGATGGCGAAGTTGAAAAATAAAAAAATGCCTGGGATCAAGGGATCAAGGAATCAATGGACGCCACCTTTCATATCAGCAGACAAGTTATCCTCACAAGTCCGACTACTTTGACAGTATTGTTATTGGACTATCCAGCTTTGAGGATGGTGTCTCATGCAACCTATAACAAATTGCTACAGTAGCGAACTATAACTACTTTTATATCAGATAAAGATCAACTGCTCATGTTTTATCTAGTACATGCAGGTCTTTTAAGTCTTTGAAGTAATATTTCAAATCCGAGCAATGGCATCTAGGTTCAAAAAGAGGAGATTTGGAAATCCTCAAAGCGTGGAGGAAACATTGACAACATCCGAAATACTATTCCACAAACAACTTGTTATAAAAATTGTTGGGGAGTTTGTATATATTTGACAATTGGCAAGAAAATAAAACAATCATGTGTGAGAGCAATCCTTTCTGCTTAGATTTGCAGAATGTGGAGACAGATTTGTGTTCAATGATGGCAAGTGTGATTTAAAAAGCAACATTCAGAAATTGTTATATATAATTATGTGAAGTGTGTAACTTATAGTTTGAAGTGTTATTGAATGTTTTTGTGTTTAGAAGTTATTTTTAAATACAGCTTACTGTATTTAGAAATAATTCTAAACATAGCAATTAAATATATATTTGCATAATCGTTTGTTTACCCCTCAATTTTCCTATTATTCAAAGTTCTTCCCTCTTGTAGTAATTAAGGGAATAGCTTTTCCACAGATAACGATTAACATCGGATACTTCAGAATTAGAATAAATGTATTTGCCACTACTTTAGGATGAGAACTGACCAAAATATTAACTTGCCAATTCCCAGGACTTTAGTAATAGATGAAAAATGTGCAGATTTTTCCAATTCACACAATTGAATATTAATGTGAAGATTTTTATTGTGTAAATATTAAACTACAAGACTATAAGTATGTTTGTCGTTTTCAACGGTACGGCTTTCAGTAGAGTCTGCTCATGTATCAATACTATTTTATGTGAATTTGAAAAAAAACTATTTTATGTGAATTTGAAGGAACTGTAGAATCGCTGGAGAGAGTGTTGGAGTCCTATGTATTAATATCTTCAACCTTATTCATACACTCCCAAACACATGACAGAAGTAAGGAACACAAGAGGTTCCTCCACTAATGTTAAGTGCTTTTATTAACGTTATGAGACATTTCTGTTTGTAGGAGTTTTATAAACATAAGTGTACGGGCCTGATATCTTTCGGGGGGGGGGGCACTTGAACGTTTGCCCAAATTTTTGTCAAATATTGAAATGAAATGACCACAATTTAATGTATTTTGTGGTATATTGTCACAAACTACCTTCATTTTTCATGGCATTTGCCTGAATTTCCATGGTTTACCATTTTTTGGGGGAGGCGCAGTTGCCCCCTGTCTCGTACGCCTGTGTTTATAAAGTAACATCAAATGAGTTTGAATTAAGTCAGCTAGACACATTAAATGCTGTTGCTATGGCAATAATGACTTTTAATATGGTGGATATTTTTCTTTTAAAGTAATTTAAAACGAATTCGGTGACCCACATTTTTTTTCATAAAATGCTTTCTTATATTATATTCGAAATTACTTTAAAGCGAAAATATCTTCCATACTAATACGTCATTGTTGCCATAGCAACGGCACTTACGCGACTTTAGTTATAAAATTCAGACTCTTTTGATGTTACTTTATAAAACCCACACACTCTTTGTTTGGTTACATTTTCATGTCACACAATCACGAAATACGATTGGTTAGAACTTAGGAGGTTAGGGATAACCCTTTGTTTTCCAAAAAGTAATAACTGTCCAAAATATCAGACATAAATTGGAAACTACCCATTTTTGAAAGTATTGTATTGAGGCTGTTTTGGGGGTTTTCCCTTGCTCTGGGGTTTTCTCTTGCTCTGGCAGAAAAAAATATACACGGAAAATAACAAGCAGGGCTGCTAGTAACTGTTACATCAAAGACACTTAATTCCGATTACTCTCAATGAACGAATGAAGGAATTTCCATATTTAATTACTCCTTTTATGCTTATATCTTGCAGCTCCACCAGTTTTTGAAGATAATAAAGATCATGTGCCGATTACTTTTTTTTGGTAACCCATTAACATTGAGAGCAGTGAAATTAGACATTGCTTGCATGGATCACAAAAGGTATACCTTTATACAAATAAGATTTATAAAGGTCATTAGGGGCTAATTTTCTTGTTGTGTACTATAAAGCTTCTTACCAACCAGTTTCCCTGAAAAAGTTAAAGTGAAATTTTCCTCTTCAGGACTCGAGAGGAGGTAAAAAGATAGAAAAAGGAGCCAATAAGCATGACTTATGGCAGCAACAGCAAATCCTACCAAAAATTCCAACATAGTTGAAAGCATGGATGTCCAGCAACAATTCAGATCTGCGGCATCAAAGTATATAAAAATTACCACATCGACAAGTCTGCCTGACTGCAAACAGCTTAAAAACGGCGAAGAAAGAATTAGATTTAAGTAACCAAAATAACATCACCACTGTCTCCAAATACTACATCAACCTTCTGTTGTCTACAGCACACCATGACCACGCAATTGGCAGCTCCATGGCTATTAGTCACATAGTTGACAAATGGGTAATTGAGAAAATTCACGAATTAGTCAGCAAAAACGTAACCCAACCAAATGAAGTAAGGCGTTGCTTGAATGAGTACATCGAAAAGGGCATTCCTGCCAATGTACCAACAGAAGAACGACCCAAAACAAACTGTCAAAAATATTATCCTACAAAACAAGATCAGCACAACCACATCGCGAGAGCTATCACTGCACAAAAAATTGTAAAGATGACCAGGAATCACTAAGGTACAAAGTCGATTCATGGAAAGCTGATGAAAACTGTCATATTTTTTACCGACCAACAGGAAAAGACGATTCAAATCTTTGCGTGCTTGAGACTGCACATAACTCTATTTATTCATCAGGGAAAATGGCAACAAAGGCTGCTTAAACGTTATGGTTCAGATTTAGTTTTAATGGGTGCAACTTATAAAACCACCAAATATGTGTTGTCTCCATTGAATTTATTTGCCAGAATGAAGGCAGCGAATCAATTGCCGAAGCACTGGGAATCCTTGAGACTTGGAATCCATGGTGGAGTCCTTTGTATTTTATGGTCGATTTTTCAACAGTGGAGATTAAAGCCATCAAAAAGCAGTTTCCAGATGTGGCTGTTTATATTTGTGACTTCTGTCGCATCCAAGCTCAGGGGCGGAGCGAAGACAACTTTTTGCCGACATAAGGGCGTGGCTAGAAAGCGGTTAGGGCGTGGTCAAAGCGAACCGTATTCATTTTTAAGTGATGTACAATGATTAACTCCAAGTAGTAAGATAATTTATTTTAATTTATTTTTAAAATAGGCGAAATAGTTCCGAAAAAAATTTGAAAAAGCACATCCATTCATCATCAAACGACCGATTGCAAACTAAACACGTCAGTTTCTCTCTCTTCCGTTTGCGTTTTTGCTTGCTACTTTCCATACTTTTAAATCATCTCCGTATTTCTCATTGTATAAAAGACCGTTAGGTGTAATTTCTAAGACCTTGACTGGCTTTACAAGATTATGAAATGAAGCACAGACGCATCAACAGTCAACACGCACATGTGCTTCGAATTTCCTAGCTATGGTATACTTCACAAAATTGCAAGAAAATATAATACTATTAAATAGCGTATTAGGGTAATAAGTTCTTGGCCAATTTAGCTGAATGTTCGGGCTGAGCTTTCAGTCGACATATCCATCTTTTCGATCTCACATTTTCTACAAATTTTCTGCAATCTCTCTCCAATCAGGTATTGGCTTGATCCAATTCATTTTGCCGACAACTGATTTATTGTGCCGACGGACACAGCATTGGTTGGGTGCGACCCCCCCCCCCCTTAGCTACGCCCCTGTCCAAGCTTGCAAAGGTGGGCATGTTTAACAAAGAATGGCCGCAGTCCAAAAGAGCAACAGGTATTCCTTAATCTTTTTAAGCTTGTTGCAAGTGTGACTGATGAGGAACAGTACATATCTGTGTACCAGAAAACCCAACATTAAAAGCTACGAGGAAAACACATGGATGGCATGCGAAAAATGGTGGGCTAGGTAGGTAGGTAAAACTTTATTTAACTACGCTGGGCGTAGATGTAACTAGTTAAAAAAATACAATTAATACAAATTATGGTCATGCATTACAGTTAACAACAAATATGATACATTCACAAATACAACTAGTATATAATTATTTACATACTAAATTAATGTCAGTACTATGTAATATTCTTAATTAATGTAATTAATTAATTAATTAATTGGCCAGGTGTCATATACATGAATTGAATGAAGCAAGAGAATGTTTGTTTCTTGCTTCATCTGAAAGGCTGTTCCACAATTTTGCTCCTCTATAACGTCTCACTCATTGAGAGTGGACATGTGTTTTCGAGCTCCTCAATTTTGAGCTTGAAATTTGTTTTAAAATCATGTCTCAGACTAAAGATACTATTAAAAGCTTACGCAAACAAAATAAAGATTTGAAGAATGAAATTGATACTCTATGAGACGAATTTAGAAAATTTCAAGATTCCGTCGCCAATAAAGGGAATAGCCATGATGCTCAGAAATGCCAGACGCCAAGCGTAGAAACTCAGAAAAGCTTGGACTATTTGGGAAATGAATATGACGATCTAAATCGCTTCAGCAAAACAGCTAAACAAGAAATCTCGCGTCTAGAATCTCGACTTGCTGAAATAGCTGACAAGGTTGAACTCGTATCAAACTCGATTGATGAAGCACAAGAATATTCTTATTCGTACAATGTGAAAGTCGTTGGAATACCACATCTTAAACAAAAAGAATCTGCAAGAGATACAAGTGATCTTTGTATAAAAATCTTTAACGAAATGGGCATTGCATTATCGATTCAAGATATCGACATTGCTCACCGTGTGCCTACAAGGAAGATGAATGATAATCAGCCAAAGCCGATTATTTACAAGTTTACACGGCGTCTTGCTCGAGAGCAAGTTATGGCGGTGAGGAGGGATATCACGAAAGTGGATCCAAGCCATCTTGGTCTACTTCCTGAATCAAACTTGTCGCATGCGGGAATATATGACCATTTAACCCCACGTCTGCAAAAGTTATTAGCAGAAGCCAGGAAATTTAAAGATGACAATAATTATAGATTTTGTTGGACAAAACACAGATCTATCTATCTACGAAAGACTGAAAACTCAAATCCAATCAGAATACACCAACGTAGTGACTTGACAAAGATAGCCATTGGAACCAGTTAAATATAATATCGCCAGCTAAGTAAAATGTTATCATTACCTAATAATAGCTATGCAGGCTAACTATAACGTCAATATAATTTGAATAACAACTCCCTACGGGAATTACCATTTTATGGTGTTAATTCCTCTCAATTTCATAGTCTGGTCAATTCAAACTTGACAGACTCTTTACCCTCTAAAAATCATTTTGGATCTTTTCAGTCTAAATACTGGAGCTCCAGACAGAAATTCTGAAATGGAGCCTTTTTCTTGCTCTGTTCGCTGCAATTATTATTCTCTTCATAGTTTCAGTATTCTAAAGGATAAAATTAATAATCGACCGGAATTAAATAAGCAATTTTCAGTATTTCACAACAATGTTAGAAGTCTAAAGAAAAATCTGGAAAATTTGCAAACACATCTTTCGAATGAACTCAATTATAATTTTAGTGTGATTGGAATATCTGAAACTACCCAGCTAGCACATAACGTTATTACAACGTTGGTAAAAGGTTGTTGCAAAGTTAGATCTAACTTAACTTTCACACGACGTTCACACAACATTACTTTTCTATCCGGAATAAGAGCACGTGGTGTAAACGTTGGTTTAACGTTGAAATTTAACGTTCCAGGATGTCATGCGACACCTTCTTAGCAATGTTAGATTTCAACGTTGTAGCAACGTTAAGGTGTAACGTTTGGACGTGACATCAAAACAACGTCGTAGACAACGTCGTCCTGACGTTAAGATTTGATATTTTCGCAACGTTCCAGGATGTCATACGATATCTTCATGGCAATGTTAGATTTTAACGTTGTAGCAACGTTAATGTGTAACGTTTGGATATGACATCAAAACAACGTCGTAAACAACGTCGTCTTGACGTTAAGATTTGATATTTTCGCAACGTTCTAAAAAAATTAAACATATGTCTTCTATTATTGAACCTGACAGTTAAACTATATAGGTATAAAACCGCATCAGGCCATATGACTTCTTATGCCTATTCAGCAGGAATCGCGAGGAACGTCGCCTTGGTTAGTTCTTACTGGAAATTTTGTCCTGAAAACGTTTTATCCAACTGATTTTAAGCCAGACAGTAGGCCTTTGTATTTGGCAGCTTATCAACAACTCGCCAAATATGGTAATTCTGACCATATATACGTAAAGTGTTTGCACCGCGGGCAAATTGAAAAGATTACACCATTGTTCTTGGCTTGCGACGCAACTGAAATGTATGCTGACTCTGTAATCTCATCGAAGCTGCTGTATATTTTAGAAGAACTCGCTCGTCTGTTTTGTTTTCGATGTAAGTATATATATTGTATCTGTAACATTTGAAACTTCCATGTGTCTATCTCATGTACGGAAAAAAGGCGAACAAAATATATTTATTTTGATATGTGTCTGCATGTTTGTTTGACGCCATATTAATTTACATTTTACAGCGCCTCTCTTGAATCGAAGATATATTTCAGGAGTACTCGTTCATTTGTCAATGAAATCCAAGAATAACTAATTAGTATACTGTATATATTAAATATTAAACTGCCTGTGCCAGTGTAGGTGGGGATGCAACTACCTGAAACTATACATATAACGAGAACTAGAAGAATTGTGACGTTTCAAAATTTTCCTTATATTGTTCAGGTAATTCTGTAATTTAAACTACAGACTGTTATTCAAGCACAGTAAGTCAGTATTACGTACGTGTATTAAGGTAATAAAATGTGGCCTGGAAAAAGTTCTGTCGCACAAGATTGTTCAGGTAGTTACATCCCTACCAACGAAAGCTTGTTCGTATACCGAATTAAATATTATTGTCAATATTCATCCAAACTATAAATTGGATCAGTAATTTTAGCCTATATATTATTTGTAAATGAAGCTCTTTCCTTAAATAAAATGATTAAATCAAAGACTTTAGTCAATTTTTCTAACGTTGATCCTAATGTTGTCACAACGTTCCTGCGAGTTCACAAAATAACGTTACTACAACGTTAATTTTCAACGTTTTCTGGACATTAATCAAACGTTGTGAGAACGTTGAACCAACGTCGTGTTCTAACGTTAATCAAACGTTGTAAGAACGTTGAACCAACGTTGTGTTCTAACGTTAATCCTGACGTTGTCACCACGTTCCTGCGAGTTCACAAAATAACATTACTACAACTTATAATACCAATGTTATCTCCACGTTCGGCGGACGTTTGTACAACGTTGGCACAACGTAATTGTGCTAGCTGGGTAGAATTAAAGGCGAAAATTGCAATTTTAATCCTTCATTGCCATGTTATAATTTCGAGTTTGTGCCAACGCCACTGGCTGCCGGTGGAGTTGGAATGTACATTAATGATGCTTTAAAATATAAAATAATAGATAAATGTGCTAATGAAGCCTTTCAGGCACTTTGGATTGAAATCATTCAACCAAAAAGTGCTATTATTATTTGCGGTGTAATTTATAGACAACACAATTCACCCGAGCGTTTCCAAGCATATTTTGAAGAAACTATTGAAAAATTAAGCACAACAAAAAAACCAATTTATCTAATGGGTGATATAAACATAAACCTCCTCCGCTCTGATTCATGTAAATATGCCCAAAATTTCTTACTTTCTTTACAAAGCTACAATTTTATCCCGACTATTGACAAACCTACTCGCGTACATAACAATTCAGCTACCCTTATTGACAATATCTTTGTCAATACTATAGAAAATGATATATCTGGTAAATTGTTAAGGTGGTGGTATCGAAAATGTCTAGGATATTTAAATCTTTGAAAATTGGCTCACTGTGCTCTAAATAAGACTTGAAAGTCATTAGACGTTCATTATTTTTTGGATCCTACTTTTATAAGTATTACCCCATGTTAAGTTGCCGTATATCAAATATGGATAGACTAATGCATAATATATAAGTTTTAGAGTATTTCGATTTATGAAATGTTGTATTTTAGCTATTATACCAGCAGCTCTAATTATTTTCTTTGTTACCTTATTTAATTGTTTTGCTTGTGGAAACACCACAAATTTATTACTGCAGTAATAAATTTACGTGGTGTTTCCACAAACAAAACTTTTATTTAGAAATCTATTATCATCAATACAGGTTTCCTATAAAAGACAAAAAATACTTCAACAGTGGGAACATGTAGTTCAAACAGTAAGGAAGGATGGCAAAGAGTGGAGGGCAACATTTCACAGCTATATTTGCAGCAACCACTTTGAAACATGTGATTACATTATACCACCATCATTGGCAGAGACTTGCAGGTTGAAAAAAAATGCAGTACCATCACTGTTTAAATTATTTCCACCATCATTACAAAACCACAGTATACCAGAAGAAACCAGAAGTCGATTGCAAATGCCAGAGCAGTGTTATTCACCCAAATGTCCCACCCAAAAACGCCACATTCATGAAGAAAATTTATCACCAGCACCCTAATTTCTTAGAGACCATAACTACGCAAAATAAACAAATAAAATGCATTCCCCACTTCAAAAGCAAGATCAATCAATCACAATTAAAATTTGAAAAGTAAAATAAGAAACCTACAGCAGCAAATAAGAAGATCCAAAAAGAAGATGACAAGAATGGCAGACATCATAAATGATTTACAGGAAAACCTAATTATTAAAGGTGAAACAGCTGATGAATTACATACCACATTTGACAAACTGCAGCTTTCAATATTCTATAATACAAAGAATAACAATAGTACATCTCCATGTGGAACATGCTACACCGATGATGTTAAACAATTTGCACTAACACTCAACTATTACTCCATGAAAACATACCAGTATGTAAGATTAATAATCCCTCTACCCAATCCATCGTTAATCCGAAAGTGGTCAAGCTTTGTGGAATGTGAACCAGGTTTCCTTGTTGAATCTTTCTAATCCCTAACAACAGAATTAAAGAATTCACCAATGAAAAAGGACTGTTGCCTGAGAATTGATGCTATGTCAATATGGAAACAAACTGAATGGGACCCAAAGAATGACCAGTATGCTGGCTTCATTAACTATGGGGAAGTAACTCCTGAAAAACCAGATACCCTGGCTTCACAAGCACTAGTATTTCTTTTGGTGGTAACATGATCACATTGGAAATGTCCAATTGGTTACTTCCTTAGTGACAAGATGTTGGCAAATGCCCAAGCGCAACTTGTGAAATTGGCTCTTGAGAAGGCAGCAGAAGCGGGTTTACGAGTTTGGTCTATTACAGCTGATGAAATATCTGTAAATCTTAACACTTCGTCAGCTTGGCTGTATTATTTGGGACAAGATACGAGACTATGGTTACAAAATTCAAGCACCCCCAACCCAAGATTATTTTGTGCATGTCATTCTAGATCCATGCCATATGTTAAAACTAGCAAGAAATACTCTAGCAACCATTTCAACTTTTAGTGACAATAACAATGGACAAATAAAGTGGGCATTGTTCCAAAATTTAAACACTATTCAAGAGAAAGAAGGTCTGAAGTTAGGAAACAGGTGGTCAACACAGCATATGAAATTTGAAAAACACAAAATGAACATAAGATTGGCAGCACAAACTTTAAGTTCATCTGTCGCAGATGCCATTGAATTTCTAGATGTATCCATGCTACCCGAATTTCAAGACAGCCAACCACTGTAACATTTACAAGAACAATTGACAGGCTATTTGACATTTTGAACTCCAGAAATCCAGTTGGAAAAGGTTACAAGCAGCCCTTACGATCACAATCAAAACACACCTGGGAATCAATGCTCAAAACAACAGCAAACTACTTGTTAACACTAAAAACGGTTGGCGATAACAACACCCCTGCACAACTCTTGGCAACTCGTCCACGTAAGACGGTTGTAATTGGATTTGTGGCAACAATCAAGTCAAATATGCACTGAGAAAAATGCTTTTGAGGAATGCTGTGACAGCGTCAAAGTATGCGAACTGTACTGATTTCAACGATTCCAACACACCAGCTCAATAGTTAAACTGTTCTACACAAGAAAGCACATCTCCCCACCACATGAAAAGTCAAATGACAAAAAGCTAAAGGAACATGAGACATTCGAGGAGAAATTGAATAACTTCACCCCTGAAGAATACATGATGGTTGGGCATCTTGATCAGGAAAGGCATACCGAATTCATTTCCAATATCCTTTTTTATATCGGGGAGGATTTGTGGTAAAAAATTGTTAAAGTTACTCACCTGTCGAGCTTGCAGAAACAGTCCTGTTTCAAATTGTCCTTATCCAACAGCAACGAATACATCTGACCATAATTACTGTGGCATTCAGTCAATGAGGTACACTAAAGTTGCTGCAGCTTCTGCATTCACACTTTTCATCAATACGGGAGGCTTACAAATCCCTTCACAATCAGTTTTCCATGTCCTCGATTATGCTCAGCAAGTCTTTAAAGCATGTGTTTGCAAAGATGGCAACCAAATCAGCAGCTAGTTTAATCTCCGAAGCAGAATGATTCTGGAGGTCTGATCATCCTCAACAAATCTGGCCAAAGCGTGTTTGAGGACCACAAACACAGGGTATGAATGAAAGCCTTTTTGGAAGATGATAAGAGTTAAGCTGATAAAGTACATAGCTAAATATTTCACCCTTTGGCTCTTCACCTACGGCAAACGATACTGCGAGAAAGTGATACAGAATGGAAGAGCTAGTGACAGATACCTATTGTCAAAGATAATCTTGTTTAAAAATCAGTAAATACTGAAACAAGATGAACAAATTATGTTAAAACATTAGATCATTTCAAATAATTGTACTTATCTTGTATATTTGAAGTCTGTTGTCTGAAATATTTTCCACTTGGCATTCGACATTTGTGTTGACACAAGCTGTTTCTATATTTAATTAAAATAATCCTTCATTTGTTTGAAACGTTTTGGTTATTGTGTAGATGCATAGCATTTTAAATTATCTTTTTAGTAAAAGACAAGTAAGACCGATCCTTAAAAAGTGTAGAAAACAGTTTTCAATTTGAAAAGACTGCCTAAAACCCAAGATAAAACTAATACGACCACGCTTCCAACTTTGAACACTCCATGTATGAACCGGACTCCCCTGGAGGCTACCTGCGAACAGGCCAAATTGGCTTCAACGAATCATAGGCCTTCATCATAGGAGTTAGCCCTCCAGTTTACTTATAGTTCGATGAGTCGGACGCACCATTCATCCGCGTCCAGCCTCCGCGTTGTCGATGGATCCCTTCGTAACCCTGCGTAACCCACTGGTGCACCATATATCCATCACTTCACGTTGTTCTTCTTCGGTCACGTGTAGAAAGGTGAACGATTTGCTTCGCGATGCCATAGCAAATCTAAAAACTTGTTCTTCTGGTTCTGAAAATACTCAAGAATTGTTATTGCGAGTTAAAACTATATATCATCCCAATTGAAGATAATCAGGATAAGATAGCGTGCAAGAAAATACTGGAAGATTCAAAGCGACCATCAAGACCACTTTCCACAAATACTGTAGAAGTATTGCAGAATACCCGTTCACTAGTAATATCATATCATGAGCCCGGCCACTATTTCGATCACTGGATACGTATATACCAGATCTTATTGCCTCGTTCTAATATACACAAACTAATTACTAAAACAATATTACGAATTGATACTATAAAGGAAATATAATGCAAGACTTTTAATATTATGCTTAGTATGCTTTATAATGTAAAATTTTTTCTCTCAGCGACGCTAATTAATCATAATCTGTCAAACACCAATGTCCGATTGTGAGGAACATATTTACATATTACACCACATTTAAGCTCTGTATAGCATGAGAATTTAATGTATTAATGCTAACTAACTGTCGCCTTAATCTCAAAATAACTACTTGACTGCGTATCCACGTATCCGCGTATCCACTAAACTATAGAGCTACCTATAGCATGAGAATTTGAGTGCATGCCTCGTTCTCAAAATAACAACTTGACTGCGTATCCACTAGAATAAACTAGAGCTACCTACCTTTAACGCTATGACAAGTTTTAATGCTAAGTTACTATATGCCCCGTAGCTACCTTTACCACCATGGGATTTTAATCTATCAATCTATTTATTATCAATATATCTATGGAGAATAAATATAGATGTATTGATACGTGACGTCGTATCCATGATGTTTGAAAGGCATAGCTTAAAAAGTGGACGGGTATTCTGCAATCGCTGCAAAGAGTTACAAAAAATAGTTACAAAAGCAAAGAAAAGCAAGTGGAAATGGCGAATATAACTTAATAAAATCAACAAATAACTTAATTGGCATCAAAACCAGGCAATACAATATTTTGAAATCACCAATTGCGTGCACAAGACACACTGGGAAGCGCATCTAATAAGAAGAGTATATCCGCTGAATGTTTTCCTTAAGGGCGCGGGTCAATGATGCGTCCGACTATCAATGAGGAGTCCGACTGTCTACGGAACGGTCAGTACCGTGGAGGTAAAATGACCCTGGGTACGAGGCTTCAAATATCGCGATATAAGGACTGGGTAGGTCAAAACACATTTTTGACAGCGTATACCTCGAAAACAATTTGAGATATAAAAAACTGTTTAATAGGTTTTTGTAAGCTTTCTGATGATGCATGGAAGTCATTTTTTGTTGTAATTTCACATAAAATTTCACATTTTCTTGCTGTTATACAATTTATTATATGGCAGATTGGCTGAGAAGCACGTACTTTCAGCAGTCCATTATTTCACTGTAATGCACCGGCGGTTCATTACGTAAAAAACAAACGCATGCATTCTAAAACAAAACAGAAAAACTAATTGAAAATTTGAAAATTATAATTTAAATTAATTTGTTATTAATAAGATATCTGCGAATGGTTTTTAGAGGATAAGAAGCAATACATTGGTATTTTTTGTTTTCTTCGACCAAATGTGTGCCACGCTACTAATATGCATTTCAAATCATGCATTTCTAGTGTTTGTTTCAAGTATAAATGCCTGTTAATAATGCAATACAATAAACTCTTTATTAACCTCGCTTGCTCGTTCTGTACAAACACCTCTGTCCGATATTTCTCTGTACAGACCTCGCGTTCGGTTAATAAGACGTTATTAATGGAGGAAAACCACTGATCACCTATTTTCCCGGTATTGAGCAAGTTTTTTGCTTGGAAACTTTTTTGGTAATTGAGCATCTATGGTACTATGTATTAAAGTTTTGGATTGGATCATCAACAACCGTGGTGCATTCCTTTTGTTCAATTTATCTCCAATACCATTCTACAACGCTTCGCATCTGGAGCCAATTCCCTTTGGGGTAAAGTGGGTGAAGTAGATCATCCGCACATCTTGTCATGCCCCTAACTGTTGAGCCTTAGAAGTAGCGTTAATGCAACGATAACCTGTTCCTCAACCTGAGGTTGACAACCTCTGGATCGTAAGCGGCCGTTATTTTAAGTTGGACTCACTTCGTGGCCTACCTTTATATGTCCTAACCAGTTCTTACCAGACAGTTTGTGATAACAAATCAGGTTACAACTATATTCTGCTCACTGACTCTAACAAAACCTTTTTTCGCTTCGAGTGGTGCGGATGATTATTTACGTCCGATGCCATTCGTTTTGGATGAAAACTGTCTGCTTTTGTCTACAAAACCATCGGTTCCGTAGTATCTCATTACCTTCGCAGACATTTGACAGAGAGGGCTCGAATTTTCATCACTATGATTGCCACTATTAAAATGTCTGGCAACAGGCTGTCAGGCTGGTTAGCATCGTCGCTAATGACGTTAACTGCACGTATACTCAGTCAGAGGATTCAATTTTATGAATGTTAAGAACTGTTTCGAGGATTTTTATTTCTTTAAGAAGGGCATCTTGTAGTCGATTGATTGTCCATTCTAAGTCATGATGTTCTCGGGCTAGATTTCGCCTAACTTCAGTTGGTTGTTTCTCCATAATATTTGAATAAGGAGGCCCTTGATTTGATTGACCAAGTGAAGCTTTTCTATGGAATCATAGAAAACATGACCGCAAATTGCGCACAGAAATGGTCACGTCCCTGACGAATCTGATTGCTTGACATTGGATTCAGTCAAAAATTTCTCAAAACTTTAAATAGTTCTTAGTTATGCTTGAGTCACCTAGTCTTTTACGTGGTCCATTAGCCTTCTCTTAATCTCGAAATTCTACAAATAAATAAACTTTGCAATTATTAATATCTTGAAATAATTTAGCAGTTTTCTTCATAAGTGTTCAGTACACGTGAGCATTGTACATTCTTGATTCTATTCATGTTCAGTTCCGAGATGAGCTAGCTCAATTTGTGGCCGCAATTTCTAATCCTGCATGGATACTGGCGACCCTATGTCTGGTTTGGGCCGGTCAAGCGGCTTTGTATGTGTATATTCACAATTTTTTGTGGGCAATTCGCTCGGTTAGAAGATCAATAGAGTGTTATTTGAAATTGGGATTTGTGGTGGGAGACTTGATGAATCCCAAATTTTAAAGCTTTGCCAGGGAGTGTGGTTCCCCTCCCCCCTCTGATTGAGCAAGAGCAAGGTTTTGTACGTTGTTGAATAGATTGGGCTGACTCGTTAGTGTTCTTTTATGATTTAACCGTATCGCAGTACCAGTCGCGCTATCATTTAATCTCTTCCCTTGAAAAAGGGACAATTTCTGTTGCTGCCAGGTCTGCAAACTTCATGTTTGAAAGGAAATTTAAAACACTATACGAGCGAAGCTAACAAGAAACGAAGACTGAACGAACTCTATAAGATAGGCTTTATATGGCTGCTCTTCCAACTTTCCTGCATTCTTCGTGCTCTTCCAACTTCGCGCGTGCTTAATAACTCAACTAATCACGAGGGCCTAATTTTCTCGAAGCAATGGTCAAACGAAACTTTTACGATAGTCAAATGAAATGAAACATTTTCGGTTATCCGACCTGCCAGTTTTTCTTAAAAATTCCCTGCATGTCTAGATATTACGGCATGTGACTAACAAAGCAAGAGTGGGAAACGAAACGTAAATGCCATATAGGTTATAGCTTAATTTATTTTTATAAAAAAATATTAAAATATATAATATTAAAAAAATATATGTATAGAGGATACTACACGGCGGCGCGAAGATATATGACTTTTATCTTCGAGTGGTGAAAAATATATTTTACGAACGAGCGCAGCGAGTGAGTAAAATATTGTTTTTAACACTCGACTCGAGAAGATAAAAGTCATATCTTCAAGCCACCGTGTAATTTTCTGTTTATTATATATTCCCAAGCAAATTTATAGGGATGTGCCGGATCCGGATACCGGCATCCGATATCGGGTAAAATTTAGACATCCGGCACTATCCGGTATCTGGTATAAATTTGCCGGTTATTTACCGGATAGTACTGAAAGATACTTTCTTACAACCATGAAACGGAAAAGTTTACTTGGCGTTTACAAATTGTGAATCACGAACAATTACTGAGCTTGCGCTGCATTACGACGAAATTAGGACATATTCTTTTCGTGATGGTGATGTGAACTGCTCGTTTGCGCGCCAACAGCAGTGAATTTTATATACTGAATACCAGTAAACAATGTAAGGTGAATCATAAGATATGGCCTTGGTAAAGACAAATAGGTCAAAGAGACAAAAAAGTGTATTAAACACATTGCCACATTGGACTAGTTAATTAAGCTATAAAAATGTTGTGTTTCTAATAAATTATTGCATGGGAGTATCTGGTTATTATCCGGTATCCGGTCATCTTTGTCTCCTGACCGGTATCCGGTAGACTACTATCCGGTACTATCCGCCGGTATCTGGCAAAACAGTATCCGACACATCCTTACAAATTTATTATATATATATATTATATATATACCGGGTGTCTCAAAAAAAAGTATCGCTGTTTGATTTGTTATAGGGCCTACCGTTAAAACTGGACAAGGAGTTTCAATCAAATAGACTTCTCTGAATTCAGAAAGGCCTAACTTTGATATATGACTTGAAGATATGTGAGCAATATTGAATGAAATACCACAGTTTCATTTCGAAGAAGCAATTTTGAAAATGCTTAAAATTACATTAAATCGGCCTATCAAATTAACATTTAATTTAATGCTGTTCTTGTCAACAAAACGCACGTTTTATAATATTTACACATTCGATGATTTATTCATCTGAAAAAGCATGTCCTTGAACACCTATACAACGTCGTGCTCTAGCTGTTAACCATGCCAGAAAAAGCGCTTTGTATCATTTGTGCATCTAAACTTTGGCAAGCTAAGATAACTGCCTGGCGGAGCTGTCTCAAATTCCTAGGCTGCTCCTCATGCGGGACGTTCCAGACTTGTTGCTTCAAATATCCCCAAAGAAAGAAGTCGCAAATCGCCAGATCAGGAGATCGAGGAGGCCAGGGCCAATCGCCGCATAAAATAATACAAGATTGAAGTTAACTTCTTTAAAATTTTCAATACTCCCGAACAAATAGCAAAGGTCTTCAAAGAAATTTAATAAGCCGTTTTAGTCGATTTTTTCGCCAATTTTCAAACCGAACTTTGGCTAAAAACATCTATATCTCGCCCAATATGAAATGAAAGATCTAGCACTGTATACTAAAATTTAGGATAGCATTTTCTTAATACCACAAACTTATTTGAAAGCCATACCTGGTATAGTTTTTACATTATGTTAAATCAAACACCGATACTATATAACACCGATATATATATATATATATATATATATATATATATATATATATATATATATATATATATATATATATATATATATATATATATATATATAAAAGCGCAATCCTCGACTGAAATGTAAATTGCTAAACAAATAATAGACGAAAACGTTAAAGTTTACATTCATTTTAAAGCGTAGCCATTCAGCTTTCTAACAGTGGGTTGTTTCTTAAATTTGAGTCATTGGTTCGCGGATAATAATACTTTACGTTATTGCGATTGGAGATTAAAAAAATTGAGATGAATAACAAATCGTTCTCATGAAAATAACTGATTTTTTCATTAAAACAAAAAAATGTTGCATTTTATTAAATGGATTGTAACAATAAATATAATTAGGGCCGGACCATTAGATATTTGATGGGGGGGGGGGGTTGTGTAAATCCCCAAAAAAATATCGAGCAGGACAAATGCGCACGAAAAAATATCGAGCACACCATCCAAGTTTCCACCCTCGTGATTGTCAGAAGTCTCTCCTCCGCAGAGGCTTTTGAAGAAATTAACCTGAATCCATAGTATATAACCTTTTAATTAAATACTATTTTTATAACAATTTGAAAGACTTTAATAAAAGACTTTAAATAATAGAAGAGTCATATAAAAATATGTGAAATGCGCTAGACGTGGTTGCAAACCTGGCTTTGGCAAAGATTACCGCTGAAATCTAGAGTGTGGGCATCAGAGAGAAGATGCTGGCTTTTTGGCTTTTAATATTTTTAAAATTTCCTCGAATCTCAAGTGGTATATTGTCACATGACACATGCACAATTTTCAGGAACTCATGCATGGATCCCCCATCATGTGCAAAGAAATAAAGCGTACAGTGTGCGAGCAGAATGGGGTATAAAATTTTGAAAATTTTAAAATTTGGCTACTACAATTAAAACGTTTTTGTGAGGATATCAGAATAGCTCGAATATAATATTTTTTATATTAAATATATATACTCTGTTTTTATCAATAGACATAATTTTTCATTTTATATACCAACAACAACTTTAAAATAGCAACAACAATAGTAGATAAATATATGAACATGCATATAGTTGTTTATATATTAATATAGGAATCAAGAATACAAACAAAACAATTAACAAATGTATATATCAAACAGTTTTTCAATCTTACTCCTCTCACATTGATTCTGAATCTGAATCACTGATTTCATTAATCAGTGTAGTTGTTTTATAATCACCATCCTTGGCTTGACTTGCACGTGCGGACATACTTGATTTTCCACTTTTTCTCTTCCGCTTTGCACTTTTGTACACAATTGAATACCCATGCTTCTCTCTGGCTGCATCCATGCACTCACGAGCCTGTTGTGCCTTTTCTTTGATGGAAGTGTCGATCTCAATAAGTCGAGGTCTTATATTCTTTGATAGGAAATCCAACTCATCCTTGTAACCTATATTAAAGTGCATATAAAGCAACTATTAAAGTTCAGAAGCCAATTTTAAATTTTTCTCCCCACCCCAAGTCCTGATTCGAGATTAACGTATAAATGTATTAACCTATATGGCTAACATTTCCAATTTGTGTGTTAATATAGGTCTATTTTCTACTATAAA